CGAGAGCACTTCAAATACAGAAAGATTCTATGTATTCAGACTCCGTACGCTCATGTTAAACATAGGTTACACACTCCTCCCTTTTCGATCTCCCCTCTTCCACTCTCAGTAAGGTCAAGTCCCCTCCGTACCAATTTTTTTCTTCTCTTTGCCCCTTGGATTTTTTGCGTAAGTCAGCGGCGTCGCTGCGCATCAGCCTCGGCTTCTAAGGTTTGAGGTATCATGTTGTTCCCAAACACGCCCCGGCGGAAATGTGGGAGAAAGAAGGGTGTGGTCGTGTTTGGGGTTAAGAAAGGTTTTCCAAGTCAGGCTTGCCTTGTATCTGGGCAAAGTCTGCTTGTTTGCGGGTTTGGGTGCTTAGATGGTCTCCATCTTGTCGAGGATGGCCTTGGTGAACTCGTGGGTGGTGGACACGCCGCCCATGTCGCGAGTGCGAACCTTGCTATAGAAGTTGTCAGTCAAACATCCCTTTTGGTAGACACAAAGTAAAAGGCAGCTTACCCCTCGGCAATGACGCCGTAGACAGCCTTGGAGATGCGGTTAGCATGGTCGTCAAGGCCCAGGTGCCTCAGGAGCATGCTGCCGCTGAGGATCATGGCCGTGGGGTTGGCCTGGTCCTTGCCCTTGATGTCGAGGCCGACGTGACGGCAGCCGGGCTCGAAGACGGCAATCTCGCGGCCCATGTTGCAGCCGGGGACGATGCCGGGGCCACCAACCAGGGCGGCGCCAATGTTGGACAGGATGCCGCCGTACAGGTTGGGCATGACCATGACGTCAAACTGCTGGGGGCGCGAGACGGCCTGCATGGAGGCGTTGTCGACAATCATGTCGTTGACCTCGAGGGTCGGGTACTCCTTGGCGGTCTGGTGGAAGGTGCTGCGGAAGAGGCCGTCGGCCAGCTTCATGATGTTGGCCTTGTGGATGCAGGTGACCTTCTTGCGGCCGTTGGCGAGGGCGAAGGCGAAGGCGAACTTTGCGATGCGCTCCGACTTGGCGCGGGTGATGATCTTGAGCGACTCGACGACGCCGGGCACGCTCTGGTGCTCGAGGCCCGAGTACTCGCCCTCGGTGTTCTCGCGGATGATGCACAGGTCGACGTCCTTGTGGCGCGTCTCGTAGCCGGGGATGTTCTTGATGAGCGAGATGCTGGCGTAGATGTCGAGCTCCTGGCGCATGGCCACGTTGAAGCTCTGGTGGCCGGACCGGCTGACGGGCGTGTGCAGGATGCCCTTGAGGCCCAGCTTGTTGCGCTTGAGCGAGGCGACGCTCTCGCGGAAGGCCTCCTCGGTGCGCAGCGCGCTCTCCTCCACGCCCGACACCTCAATCTGCTCCCACTCGACGGGCACGTTGTCGGCCTTGAAGATGGTCTTGACCGACTCGGCCACCTCGCCTCCGATGCCGTCTCCGGGGATCAGCGTGACGGTGTACTTGCCGCCGAACTTGGCCGGCTTGAAGATGTCGGACTGGACGGTGGCGAAGGACCGGGTGAGCTGCTGGGGCTGGGCAGCAGCACGGAGGACCTGCGAGTACGGCACGTCAGTCACTCTCTTCGGCATCCCTCATCATGATCCGTCCCTCTGGATCGTAACCCCTCGTCTTCGTCGTCGTCTCCCATCTTCTTGTCCAAACATCGTCTCCAATCGCTCTCAAGACGAGCCAAGAAAAAAATCTCGCGGGCGACAACCTCGGCTCAGCACGAGCCCCTCCACCTTCTTTTGCCCTGCATCCAACGACGTAACCACTCCGCCGCCTCAACTCCCCCAAATCCAACAAACGCCCGATTCCAATCCCAATTCCATCCTCATCATCACCATCGAGAGCCAAGCAAAGCCAGAGTGGCAACATACCTGAGCGGTCCTAAGAGAGCTTCGTGACAGCATCTTGAACAAGGGGAGAACGCCTTAGCTCGTAGGTAAGAATCGTAGGGGTATCAGGCAACACCAGAGAAACCTCGAGTGCCCAAACACAGAGAGGGAATAGAAATAGAATAGTACAAGGAGAAAGAGAGAGGAGAGTTTGTCCAGTAGACAGAAAAGGGAAGAAAGGAAGAAGGAGTTCCGGAATCGAGTGTCAAAAAAAAAAAAGTCCCAAATTATTACCGCACTTCTCCAAAAAGTGCAGTGTCGTCTCTGCGCCAATCCCATTAAGCCGAGCACTTTTCCACTGCTATTCACTCGGCCTGCGCCGGCGCCGCCGCCTCCAAAAACCGCACTTTGGTTTTTTTCCTTGGCCTTGGAGAAACTCCCTGCCGCCCCGGTTTTTACGTCCAGATGTCGGAACAAAGTGCGGAATGCGACGTCTCTCCGAGCGCAGCTCCGGGCTTTGGGCCTTGGCCTGCTTGGGACTAGTCAACGTGCTTATCCATCTCTTATCGTGACATAAACCGAGGTAATGACATCGATGATAGTTGTATATCGCCGTACAGCTTCATTTATTACAACTCCCGTCTTTCCAGTGTCATGTAAGTGTCATTGAGTCATTCATTCCTGTCAAAAGCTATCAAATTCTAATGCTACTCCATCCTCCCGATACCGCAAAGCAGATAGTACATCAAGCGCGTCTCACAATGGAAGTCATTCCAGCTTGTTCTCGTTCCTCCGTACCCAAATCGCTCTTACAACGCATCGCATCGTCCGCTCGTCTCCAACGTCCCCCAAATCGCTGGACTCGTCTGTTGTCTTACACATGGCTTCGTCATGGCTGATCGTTCTTTTCTTTTCCCTGTCGTCGGTTCTCTTTCATTGTAACAAACTTACCTTGATTCCCATTTCCCAAAATACAAAAGCGCAGGTCATTAATTCATCGTCATAACATCAATCCATCCCCCCCATTATGCTCATTAAGCCTCCTCCTCGTCCAGCGGCTCGACACGAACTAAAATCTCCTCCAAGAGGCCCTCCAAAAAGTTGCCCACTTCTCTTCCCATCCCGACGGGCTCTGCCTTGTCATGGTAGTCGATTTCCTTGCAAACATGCGCCAGCTTATAGACAAGTTTGCGGACTTTCTCATGCGCGGCCTCGGCTCGCTGCTGCTTCGAAGACATTGACGAACCGCTCGGCACAGGCTTGTACACATGCTGTAGCCGAATCTGCCGTCGCTTGAGCGCCTCTTCCAGTGCAGGAAAGATGACATCGTTGAGAGCATCGAGCTCCCCGTTGGGATTCGCAGCCGGAGGCGAGGGAAAGGTTTCCATCGCTGCTGGTGAATGGCCCAGTGACCGTAACGAAGACGACGATGCGTTTGGCGCAGGCACGGGTGCAGAAGGAGGAGCAGGCGGAGGAGCAGTGACAGTGACGGGCGGCGCTGCCGATGTGGGCGTGGCCGGCACTCGAGCCACGGGGGGGAGCGGCACAACAGGGGCCACCGTTCGCTGCACGGTTGTCTGTGGTTGCGATGCTGGCTTCGGAGAAGGTCCTCTGTAAGGTGGGATTTCAGCCAGGTCATACCGCGGTTCCTTGGAGTTCGTTGAACGCTGCGACACACCGTGAGCCGGCGGCAGCGGTTTCTCGAAACCAGGAGGTATCGAAATATTCCTGTGCGCAGGGGCTGCGGGCGGAGGCGGTGAGGGCGTAGGGACAGGATCGGGTAGATCTATGTTCAAGTTCAGAATTCCCATGTCGCGCTGCAGATGAGCTTGCAGCTCCCGATCGTAGTCAGGGGAGGGGGGCTCTTGCGACAAGGCCGGTACTGTCACGATCTTGGAAGCTCTAGGCGTCGTTTCGTGCACCTCCCAGCTTGTCTTCCTGATCACCACGGGGCTAGGGGGCGGGGGACCCCTCGGTGTAAAGCCGCGCTGTGGTTGTGTTGGTGTTGGCACGTTCTTGCGTTGCGGGCTCGATTGTCGCGATGTTCCCGCGCTGGACGAGTTCGTTGCCTTGAGAGTATCGCTCGGCTGCAGAGCATGCTTCGTCGGGCTGGACGGCTCCCGCCTCCTCTCGCCGTAATCGTCCGAAGTCCGCGCCGCCCTCGTGTTCGTAGCACTCGCGCCCAGCGGGTTGAGCATCGGTGGCCGGTTCACCAGGTTGCCGCGGTCATTGACGAGCCTCACGGTACCAAAATCCCACATGTCTTCGTTGACTCGCGTCCTCTGCGGCGGCACGCTGTCGTGGGTTTCCCACGTTTCTTCCTCGTCCGTCTTGTGCGTGGCCGCCCATCTGCTATGCCGCTCTATCAGCTCGGTGAGATATGTCGTCTTCTTTGCCTTCCGGATAAAGGGGTGTCGCAAAAGGTCTCGAGCGGTAGGTCGCTCCTTGGGATCCCGCTGCAGACACAGTTCGACAAAATCCTTGAAGGCTTTGGTAAAGTTGCCCTCCAGCCTCGGGGGCGGGTTTTTAGGGATGAGAAAGAGAACCTTCATCGGGTGGATGTCGGCATAAGGGGGCTCCCCGTTGGCCAGCTCGAGGGCGGTAATACCGAGGGACCAAATATCAGCCTTGTGATCATATCCAGATTGTTTAATGACCTCGGGTGCCATCCAGAAGGGAGTCCCGACGAATGTGTTCTTCTTCGTCATGGTGGCCGAGAGCTGGCCCGACACGCCAAAATCGGCCAGCTTGACCTGGCCATTGGCTCCCAAAAGGACATTGGCCGCTAGCAGATGGCATCAGCATACACACAACTCGATTCGCAACATCCCATGCAAAGACCTCAAGACTCCTCACCTTTGATGTCTCGATGCAGCTTCTTGTCCGTGTGCAGATAGTCCAGACCCATCAGCAACTCCCTTATGATGATTGCAATGTAGTCCTCGCCCATGATGCCCGGTTTCATGAGGTCGGCGCAGCTCCCTCCGGCGCAAAACTCCATGACGATCCATAGCTCGGCGCCCTTTGCATAGGATCCGTAGTACTTCGTCACGTAGGGAGACTGCAGCTCGGACAGGATGGCGATTTCCTGGATGATGTCCTCGACCTCGTCCTCGGCATTCTCGACGTCGATGATTTTGATGGCGACAGAGCGCCCGCTTCGCTTGTCGACCCTAGCAGACGCAGAAGCAGTCAAATGTCAGCAATAAGCCTGCCATGAAAAAGGAGACGAAACGCATCCGCCCCATAGGTCACGACATACCCCTTGAACACCTTGCCGAAGCTACCACCGCCTGCCATCGCCAACAGCATTAGAAAACCGCCCAGAGCCCGCGACACCAGCCAGACACCAGCACTACTAACCAATGCAGTACTCCTTCGTGTACAGAAGCTCCGGATCTATAGGGCCATTGGGCTCTTCCGCATGCCGATGCGGTTCCGCCATTGCTCGCTCGCTTTTTGCGTCCGCGCTTCTCCTTCTCCCTTCTTTCTCTTTTAACGGAGCCCTCCGTCACCGAGGATGCGGGAATGCGAACAGCGATATGGGGGGGGGGGGGGGGGGGGTTGAGAGACCGGCTACGTGCTTCCCGTCCGAGGTGCACGCTTTCGTCTCGTTCGTCGTCGTCGTCGTCGTTCGCAAGTCATAAAGCGATGCACCGTCGTCTCGCAGCAAAGAATGCCAAGTGTTCGTTTTCCGCTTGTTTTTGTTTTCCGTCAAAAGACAAGAGACAAAAGGACGGCCAAGGGATAACGGAGGGAAAAAAGACACAAAAGGCATGTGCCAAAACATTCAAAGGTCGGCAAATCCGCACCGCATGGATGCATCGGGGCCAGAGAGAGGTGACGAGCGGCGGTACCTGGGATTGGCGCACGGCCAGCTGCTGAGCTGCGGTTTAGCGGGCGGTGAACCCCACTATCGGCCGCTATGGTGCCTGCGCCAGTGCCCTTGTAGCGCCTGGAACTGTTTCCGCCGCCAGCTTCCCGGTTCGATTCTTTGGTTGGGTCCCTCGTCGCACCTGGCAACGCAAGTAAAGAGAGCGCTATGATAAGCCACACGCGATGTTGAATCAGCAGCGACGACGTCACTTGCTTGTTTCTATGATGATCAGTTGATCTCTGGGACCAGAGAGACTGTTCTCTAGCCTGTGATTTCATCATTTGTCAGTTTCTTTCTCTCTTTGCGCAAAGGGACGCCAGTTCCAGCAAGCATCTATGTAAACAAATGCACCCAGCCATCCAATCTATTGTTTACTCTCTTTGCGCCGCCATTGTCGAGGGGTTTTGCGGGGCAACGCCCGACCGAAATCAGGGGTCAAATAAACACCAACTGGACGAGGACGTGCACTACATACATCAAATTCAACCCCTCTCAGCCTTCTTCAGCCTCGCGCTGCTACTTCACAGTACAAAGAGGCTTCCAAGAAGCATCACCCCCTGTAAAAGACGCACCAGTTTCCGTTGAGCTGCTGCTCTCCTCATACAGCGCGTCAAAGCAACTTGTATTGTCTACCTGCCGATACTATCACAAGCCGCGCCCACTGTCGCCTTCAAGGCGTAGAAAGAAATGAAACGAGATAGAAGAAACCAGCCGTAGCCGCTGTGGGATCGTCAGACGGCCGCCCAAATGTCGGAACCGAGCACACAGCAGCCCTTACTTGGCACAGAGTGCCTCGCCCTTACTGGCAGTGATCTCTTCCAATACCGGCAGCAAATGAACCAAAGCCAATCGTCAAAGAACCGGTTCGCCCGTGTCGGGTAATTCATTCCGACGCTGTCTATCAAATAGACGCCCTCGTCGTCACCTTGGCTGCGCCCAACGGGCGTTTGACAAGAGACATCGTCGCGTCGGGTGTCGTCAGTCGTAAAGAAGCGAGAAGAAACAAAGAGAGAAGAGGAGCCCAAAGCCCATCACTCGTCTGTGATAAACTCAATCATGACGGTTCCTTGCTTCAAGCCAGCCTCCTCAATGGTGGAGTCCAGCAACTCGATCAAGTCCTGGCCCTGGGGCATCGTCTTGAGCTCAAACGGGACATCTGCCTTGCCCTCCAACGGCTCCGCTTTGAGCCACTCGTATATCCTCCGGACCGGGTCCCGCAGGGAGAACCGTCGGATAATGCGCCCGTCTGGGTGTCGGAACTGGATGCGCGTTGTCGCAGCAGGATCATTGGCAGGCTCGGTGTGAGGATTCGTGCTCGAGATCTGGGCAAACGGGCTCTGCGCCTCCTCCTGACCTCCCGATCGCTGAGGTTCCTTGGTCAGCGCATCCGGATCATGGACACTGGGTGTCGATCCCGCCCCCGAGCCACTGGCTTCAGCCCCAGCCAGACTGTTCTTGAGCGCCATCTCCAGCATTTCCTCCTCCGTCATGCGATCCACATCAATGACTTGAGGCTTCCGCGCCGCAGTTCTGGCAACAGGGTTCTTGCTGTTTGCAGCGAGGCTGTATCTGTCAAGGAATTCCGCCACCTCAGCGTGGAACTCGGTGGCACTGGGGAAGGGCCTGCCACTCCACACTTTGACCTGCTCGCCCGTTCGAGGATCGACAATGGAGACGTGGGGGTAGTTGTCTGGGTTCTCGTGCCCCTGGTTGGGGAAATAGAATGTCAGGTACTCTTCTGCTTCGGGATAGTCTTTATCCAGCTGCATAAAGATGAAGTTTTCCTTAACCAACTCGGAAACGGCTTGATCTTTCCAAATGTCCCGGTTAAGCATCTGGCAGTTGAAGTCGCTCATATCTTGCAGGTTGACCATGATCCACTTCTTGTCTTCCTTGCCCAGCGCGCGAGCTTCGTCCCACGTGAGCCGAGATATGAGATCGTAGGGCGGTCGGAACAGATCCTCCAGGCGCCTAGCATGAGCAGATGTTCCGTTTGCAGACGAGGACTCAGCTCGGTTCGTGTCGTCTCCCCATATCCGATGACCAAAGGGGCCTCTGTTGGGTGCTTTAAGACGTCAATTTTTTCCCTTTCTGAAATCTCCTGGGTTAGGTGTGTACTTACGAGGCATCGGGCGTCTCCTCCTGAGTTGCTCCAGAATAGCAGAGCTGTCGTCTTCTCCCCAGGATGGGTCTGGCGCAACAAGCGTCTCCGTTGTCCGTGCAATGGGCGCTCTCACATCACCACCAGAGGGTCCCGACTCCTGATACATCTCCTCCTGAAGCCGCTTCGCCATGGCGGCATCTTCTTCCTCTTGAGCCAGCGCAGCGGCTTGGGCAACGGCAGCCCGCTCGTCGTCATCGTGATCTTCGAAATCGTTGTCGTCGTAGTCCATGTCTGCATCGCCGTCGTCATCGTCGCTAATGTGAATCACGCCACTCGCGTCTTCCCTGCCGATATTGACTCTCCGCGATGCGGAGCGAGACCTGGACGAGGAGGCAGTGGCAGCAGGGCGGGGCACGCCCTCGCCGACCAGGTCCGGGCTCTCAAAGAACAGCTCGATGGCCCGCTGGTTGTCGCCGCCTGTGAGCTCGAGGTAGCCGCGAGCGACATCGACACTCGCCCCAGTGATGGCGACGAAGTGGTGAATGTTCTCCTCCATGGCTGATGCAGGACTCGACGCCACAGCGCCCCCGGCTTTCTCGAACGGTGTGTTTGCACTGCGGAAGCAGCTAGCAGAAAGGCAGTATCTTGTTGCTCTCTACGATCAGGGCTGTCGATTCGTCGAGCCGTGCCGCGCCGTGATCGTGCCGCTTTATAGACTTGCTTTTGGATGGTTGATGTTGGAAGCGGGTGCGATTAGGTGCAGTTGAGCGGGATCTGAATCCGATAGCTGCAAAATGCCGGTCAGACACGCCTTAGCAGGTGGTGCCCCACACTCGCCGCCTAGCTCAGCCAGTGAAAGAGATGCAGTAATAAATGAGCTGTGAAAAGGGCAGTTGTGCCGAAGCTGCCAAACGTCTCTGAAATGATGAAGAAGACTATGTGAATGTTTGGAATTGTGTAGAAAGAGAACGGTTACGGATGAAGTCATGAATCGCACTGCGTAAATCGAGGTCACTCAGTCGATGCTCAGGCACCGCGGGCATGACGCAACAGGAGCACCCCGCCAAGCGACTTTGCGCAGGTACCTTCCTGCTGCTGTCTTGCGCACGGGTACCTGAAGATACTTTTGACGGTGTACTCCTGCAACGGTGACGGGTGACAGTTGACCGAACATCGGAACAACCAATTCGCCGGATGCATCTTCGTGCTTTTCGAGAGCAACTTACCCTGCAACAGACGATGAGAAAATGGGGCATTTTTCTTGGTCGTGCACTGAAGGGCATCCAGCTGGTGGTGATGAGTGAAGTTTTCCAGTATATCGAGCTCTCGCGGCTGTTATTCAGTACTTACCACTTATGATTGCATCACCTCCCACCGGGCATCAGAGCCGTCTGAACTTAATGAAAACATGAGGCTGTTGGACGGAAATCAATAATAATCGTTGTATGTGTAAAAGAAATCCCTTGAGTAATAATAGAAGGTAAGGCGAAGTAGAGTAGGAGAGTAGATGAGGAAAGTAGAGCCAAGGTCTTGAGCATGTCCGCCTCTGGTGGTCCCTTTCTCCCTCTCTACACTAAGGTACGTTGCGACTCTGGGGACTGGACGTCACGGAGAAAGGGGCCACCCTGTTCGATGCTGAAAACCACTGGGAAAGCATGCGAGAATAATCACCTCCAACTAGAAAACATAAGAGGAACGTTGTCGTCGTTCGGCTCCAGCCGCTGCCTCCTAAATTCATACGCTTAGGCAAGTCGATGTCACCTTTCGACCTAGTTCTCATGCATTACCTGGCAATCTACAGAGTGAAACTATGATTTGTAACCCAGAGACAAGATACTGATCTCTCACGGATCAAACTTGCCCGGAAACAGTTCCCCCCAGATACCGGCTTCGGGGGATACCTTCCAGTTCCCGGATAGCAATGGGAACGGGCTTCCGGGTTCTCTCTTCAGATGGAACAAATCTTTCACGAGAACCCGCAACTGGCTTTCGTAAAAAAGCCTTGACCAATCCGCCAGTCTCTTCTTCACAACGAGCGATTGTCCAGAGAAAATTCAAATCAGGATATGGGGTCGGATCTTTATCAAACTCGCCATAAAACGAGAAAGGGGCCCCAGGAATACACAAAGCTCTTTTACAAGCCGCTTGGTACATTTCCCAGTACGAATGCCAAAGGTGTAGCCCTCTTATTCGTTCTCGAAAAGTTGCTCGTGGAGAGGAAGCCGTTCGGTCATCAGATTCAATCCAAATTGTCACGAAGATATTTATTCTTCGGGTTTCGGGTCGGTTCTCAAGTTCAACTGTGCTTGACTCGTTAGAATGTGGGTTACAGAATGATAGGAGCACGGGACCAGATACCTGAGTCCGGCATTCTTGTCATACCCAGCCAGAGTTGAATATTCTGGTCAAGTCCACAGTTGTGAAGAGAAAGTGGTATGAAGAAGAAGTAGGGCCGCGACTGTGAGAAATGTCCGTGCATACTACACCACTCTCGAGTGTCATGTGTAAGGAAACATCGACCTGGCTTCGAAACCACTCATTAAACCACAAAAATGGACGACTGCAACATTTATGTACCCCTGAGGATTTGAATTTCGTGCGTCTTCATTCGAGCTGGTATATACCATCAAATATTGACAGTTACTCAGTATATACCTATAATCCTTGATACATCGAAAAAAAACTTCCAAAGAGATCTTGTAGCAGCATTATATAGCCAGGAGCAAATATTTCCACATCATCCTTCCGTTTCATATCTTAACCACGCGCTTCCTGTAGCTCCGCCAACACTCGCTGCCAGGCCTTTTGAACCTCCGGAACTCGCTCTTCTTCCTTGGCCTTGACCACAGCAGCCTCGAACTCATCCAACGACACAGTAGACTTCCCAAAGACACCGCTGGTGTACGCTTTGAGAGTTGCAGAAACCGCATCCGCTCTCTTGAGCCTTTGGGACTCCACGCCAACTTCGGCCTTGTCAACGTCGAGGCTGCCAAGGTATGCCTGCAGGACACCGTCCTTATCTAGTGATGTCGATTCGGCCGGAGGCTCGGAGGTTGCAAGGTCATTCATGAGGTCAATGACTGCCTCGTACCAAACCTCTCGCTTGATGTAGCTGAATTTGGGGCTCGAGAGGAACGGTTCAAGAGATTTGATGACTTGGTTGGCGACCGCATAAGCTCGTCTATCCGACGAGCGGCTGTATCCGCGTGCCACGGCTTCCAATCCGTTCATTGCAGTCTTCGTCACAGTGACTTCTTTCGAGTCCACGTCCATCTTGTTGTCATCTTTGTGATCCTCCAAGTAGGGTGTCACAATGTCCACAATGTCTTGGAAAATGTCAAAGATGTCCATCGCTTTCGCGAATCTCCACAAGCAGCGGAAAGCGTGAACACGATAGTCGTCATTGTTCCGCTTCGCTTCGCGAATGGCAATCTTCTTCATCTGCGCTGCAATCTCAGAGTTGAATCTCCACAAGGATTGGCCCTTTTCGATGAATTCGGGGAATGCCTCCAACAGCTTTTCCTTCCCCGGGAACGTCTTGAGAGCGAGAGCCTTGTCAAATACAGGCCATATAGCCTTTAGATTAGCCTCTGCAATAGCTCCTGTGGCATCACTGGCACTGGCGACATCTGAGACCATGGCGGCGACGGTGAAGGCCCCGGTGTGTCGTAGAGCCCACTGGGTAGTAGCCAAGCAGCGCTCAACAAGATCGACAATCTCCGGCACGTAGCGAACGACTGTTCGATTGCTGCCAGCATGCTGATCCCATACCTCTTTGAAGACCTTGCTGGTGTATTCATCCACATCGTGAGAGCCAAGATATGCAAATGGCAACAAGATCGTCTCCTGGGTAGTAAAGTGATCAGGAGATACCTTGGCAAGGGAAACAATGACGTCTGAAACTTTCTGGCGACGGCTTTCTTCTTCAGATTGAAGGTAAAGCTTCAGCATCCGCTCTGAAAATCGTTGTTTGGCGCTGTCCGAGACAACTCTCATAATGTACGCAGCGGCGCGAGCATATGCTTGGCTGACTTCGTCGTTCTTGTCGAGCACTTGCTTGCCAAGTAATTCCAAAAACTGGGTAGAAACAGACTTGATCTCGTTCGTGTGACGAGTAAAGAGAGCCGTCAAGACTCTGCTGCAGCCGATCTTGGTGGGAAGACCAATCGCGGTCTTGATCGTTTCCTCAAGTCTCGGAGCCAACTCTGTCATGACATCCTCATCAACAAAGCGTAGGATGTTGTCTATAGCTTCCGATATGGGGGAGGCATTGACCATCCTGGACCGTAGCTTGTCAATTTGCTCTCGACTGTCTTCACCAACCTGCTGATAGTAGTAGTTGATACGATCAGGCTCGATGGTGCTGAGGAGACCGAGAAGCTTCGGCACCATCTCTGGGATAAACGGCTTCAGATGCTTTCCACCGTGGCGTGCAACCTTGATGATGGTGATGATTGCAAACACCTGCACCTCCTGGACCGAGCTCTCTGCGGCCTTGTCGGACAACAGAAAGGGGAGCGCCTCCTTCATCATGGCATTGGCCGATGCTTCATGAGTTCCCTCCTCCAGCTGCCTGGCGAGCGTATTGGAGAGGCTTCTGCAGAGCCGGAAAGCGGCTTCCCTGACGCTCCCCTTCACGTCATCAAAGACCTTGACTGCCTTGGCCCAAATCTCCCTGTAGTATTTCTCGTATCGTTGGAAGGGAACGCCGGTAAGAAGCTCAGAAATGGCAGCGCAGCTGGCTTCTCGCATTCTCCATTCTCGCCCATGTATGCTCTTGAGTAGCTCCTCCATGATGGCGTCAAAGTGGACGTCCATCACCGTCTTTTGATCCTTAACCAACGCCTTCCAAATCTCGTTCATCGATCGTTGGACGTTGGTATTAGGGTCGAAGCGATATCGGTAGAGCTTTGGGTATATCTTGGGGTCGACTTCGGCATCTGAGAGGATATTAGTGAGGCCAAAGCGTCCGAATGCTGATCTGGTCGACCATGTGGCTGCATTGGCCGCCAGAGCCATGAACTTGTAGACAAGCCGCTGGTCGCCGACTTCATTCGCGAGGCTGACAATGTCTTTATACGACGAGACCGAGCTGCCTTCGCCGGTTGGTAGTGCTCCCGGTTCGAATAGCTCCGTCTCCTCGTCTACCTTGAGCTGCGTGGTCGAGCCCGTAAATGCAGCCACGAGGTCTTTCACCAGGGCCGCCTTGAGCTGCTCATCTCCACGTTCATGAACCAGGTTGAGGCCACGCGAAGCAGTCTCTTGTACGAGTTCATCTCTGGAACTCAAAAGACGCATAAAGGCGGCTTGTGCCTGTCGGAGGCGAGAGTTGACTTCGTGGATGCCTGAACAGTACTGCACGATGCAGAAGAGCCATATGCCAGAAGCCTTCAGAAGAGACGGCTTGGTTGCTTTGCAATCCTCGAAGAGTTTGTCCAGGACACTTGTAAGCAGAAATGTGCGACATTTGCTCTGGAAGTCGCGTGTTCGAAACTCGACGTCCACCATGAGCTTCACGTAATTCGAGTCCCAGCGAGCAGTGGCAACAGTGATGGC